GAAGAACCATCTTTTTTGAGAGCGTAGAAAATGACTATAGCACCTAAATGCATAGATCCTACTCAAGTAGGCAAATAAACAGTCTATATACACCGATCAGGCATAACATTATGACCACCTCCTTGTTTCTATGCTCATTGTCCATTTTATCAGCTCCACTTACTATATAGGTGCACTTTGTAGTTCCACAGACTGTAGTCCATCTGTTTCTCTGCATACTTTGTTAGTCCCCTTTTACCCTGTTCTTCAGTGGTCAGGACCCCCATGGGTCTATACTATTTGGGTGGTGGATCATTCTCAGCACTGCAGTAACACTGATGTAGTGGTGGTGTGTTAGTGTGTGTTGTTCTGGTACGAGTGGATCAGACACAGCAGTGCTGCTAGAGTTTTTAAACACTGTGTCGACTCACTGTCCACTCTATTAGACACTCCTACCTTGTCAGTCCACCTTGTAGATGTAAAGTCAGAGACGATAGCTCATCTGCTACTGCACGGTTTGTGTTGGTCATCCTCTAGTCCTTCATCAGTGGTCACAGGACGCTGCCCACAGGACGCTGTTGGCTGGATATTTTTGGTTGGTGGACTATTCTCAGTCCAGCAGTGACACTGAGGTGTTTAAAAACTCCAGCAGCACTGCTGTGTCTGATCCACTCGTATCAGCACAACACACACTAACACACCACCATTACATCAGTGTTACTGCAGTGCTGAGAATGATCCACCACCCAAATAGTACCTGCTCTGTGAGGGTCCATGGGGCGTCCTGACCACTGAAGAACAGGGTAAAAAGGGGGCTGATAAAGTATGCAGAGAAACAGATGGACTACAGTCTGTAATTGTAGAACTACTAAGTGCACCTATATAGTAAGTGGAGCTGATAAAATGGACAATGAGCGTAGAAACAAGGAGGTGGTCATGATGTTATGCCTGATCGGTGTATGTATATAATATATAATATAATATATGATATTTGTGTATGTAAATATACAGTCCATGTGCGAACACTCACGAAAGCTTTATCCGCTACCACGGTAAAGTTAGTTTTGTTTTCGATATTCGTCTTTTCGGCGCTAATAACATTTGATCGGACTACGGTAGTCAGTAAAGACTTACATATTCATGACAGTCCGACCACAGAGAGTGATGCACACCTGTTCTTTTACAGTTTAGGTGACATTTAACGTACCGCTATTTTGTGTTAATACCATAGAACTGAGACACGTTTTTCAGTCGGAAGAAAAATCATGCACTTCTAGATCACGCCTACATCCATGCACACGCCTCTGTTTTCCTCCAAAGCGTTTCAGCGCATTTAAATACATATTTTAATTGTTCGTGCTAACAACAGACACCGCCAGACAGTAGAACGTCAATAGCGCCATAAACACTGTGTCCATACAAATCTGATTAATTGTGTTATTTGCTCTAAATTATGGTTAGAAATACACACCACTTTAATTTAGAAAAAGGACTTTGAATTAACCTGTAACTAAAATGTACTTGCCAATACTTGTCCTAAGACATTAGCAGTCTTGAAGGTTTAATAGATCCTTAACCATCTATATTAGTTTAAAAAATGAGAGTGTAGAAAAGAAAACGTCTTATTAAAGTGGATCAAATTGCAAATCAAAACAATTTCATATCCATCAAAAACTTAGTGAGTCAGAATTAAGTTATTTTTTCCATTTTCAATTTCGACATTTTAGACATTGAACATTTAAAATACTGCTTAGATTCAAAATGCAGCATTCACTGCAATTAATGCAGCTGAAATGCTTTTGAAGGTTAAAATACAAATATTAATATAAAGTTATTATTGCAGTACATTCAAAATTCAAAAGTTGTGTATGACTGCTGAAACCTCACTGCACCATACACAATTGTTTGTAGTGTTGGGTGTAACACAGCTGAAATTAATAAAAAGTAGTCACAGCAATATGTCCAAAATTTAAAGGTTGTGCATCATTGCTGACACCTTGGTGCACCATACACAGCTGTTTTTAATGTTGTAAATAATGCAGCTGAAATATTTCTGAAATTCAAAATATATAAAATTAATAAAAAGTAGTTACAGCAATATATCCAAAATCCAAAGGCTGTCCATCATTGCTGACAACTCACTGCACCATACACAGCTGTTTTTAATGTTGTAAATAATGCAGCTGAAATATTATTGAAATTCAAAATAGATAAAAATTAATAAAAAGTAGTTACAGCAATATATCCAAAATCCAAAGGCTGCACATCATTGCTGACACCTCACTGCACCATACACAGCTGTGTTTGATGTATATAATTTAGCTGAAATATTATTGAAATTCAAAATACATAAAAATGAATAAAAAGTAGTTACAGCAATATATGCAAAATTCAAAAGCTGTGCATCATTCCTGACACCTTGGTGCACCATACACAGCTGTTTTTAATGTTGTAAATAATTTAGCTGAAATATTATTGAAATTCAAAATACATAAAAAATAATAAATAGTAGTTACAGCAATATGTCCAAAATTTAAAGGCTGTCCATCATTGCTGACACTGCACTGCACCATACACAGCTGTTTTTAAATTTGTATATAATTTAGCTGAAATAGCTTTATACTTCATATTAATGTTTATGTATTTTGAATTAATAGCATTTCAACCATATTACATACATCACTAAAACCATTGTATATGGTTCAGCAAGATGTCAGCAATCATACACAACTTTTGGATTTTGGATGTAATGCAATAACTGCTTTATATAAATTTTTATTTATTTTGAACTTCAATAATATTTCAGCCACATTACATACAACACCAAAAATAACTGTGTATGGTGCAGCTAGGTATCACCATTCATACATTTTTTTTGATTTTGGATCTAATGCAGTATCTCATTTAAATAATTTTTCATATATTTTGAATTTCAATTATATTCCAGTCACATTACATACAGCACTACAAAGAATTGTGTACAGTGCAGTGAAGTGTCAGCAGTCATACACACCTTTTGGATTTAGGATATAATGCAATAAATACGTTTTTTTTTATTTAATTTCAACTTCAATAATATTTTGCCCATCTTACAAACAACACTAAAAACTACTGTGTATGGTGCACCAAGGTGTCAGCAATGATGCACAGCCTTTGGATTTTGGATATAATGCAATAACTACTTTATATTAATTTTTATTTATTTTGAACTTCAATAATATTTTGGCCATCTTACATACAACACTAAAAATAGCTGTGTATGGTGCAGTGAGTTGTCAGCCATGATTCACAGCCTTTGGATTTTGGATATATCGCTGTAACTACTTTTTATTCATTTTTATGTATTTTGAATTTCAATAATATTTCAGCTAAATTATTTACAACATTAAAAACAGCGGTGTATGGTGCAGTGAGTTCTCAGCAACGATGCACAGCCTTTGGATTTTGGATATATTGCTGTAGCTACTTTTTATTAATTTTTATATATTTTGAATTTTAATAATATTTCAGCTGCATTATGTACAACATTAAAAACAGCTGTGTATGGTGCAGTGAGGTGTCAGCAATGATGCACAACCTTTAAAGTTAGGACATATTGCTGTAACTACTTTTTATTAATTTTTATGTATTTTGAATTTCAATAATATTTCAGCTAAATTATATACAACATTAAAAACAGCTCTGTATGGTGCAGTGAGGTGTCAGCAATGATGCACAGCCTTTAAAGTTTGGATATATTGCTTTAACTACTTTTTATTAATTTTTATATATTTTGAATTTCAATAATATTTCAGCTGCATTATTTACAACATTAAAAACAGCTGTGTATGGTGCAGTGAGGTGTCAGCAATGATGCACAACCTTTAAATTTTGGACATATTGCTTTAACTTTTATCAATTTTGAATTTCACTAGCATTTCAGCTGTATTACAAACAATTATATATGGTGCAGGTAAGTTTCAGCAGTCATACACAACTGTTGAATTTTGAATGTACTGCAATAATAACTTTATATTAATATTTGTATTTTAACCTTCAAAAGCATTTCAGCTGCATTAATTGCAGTGAATGCTGCATTTTGAATCTAAGCAGTATTTTAGCTACATTGCATCCTCAAGTGACATTCAAAGTTTGTGTGTCATCACTGAAACTTATCTGCACCAAACACTGCTGACTTAAATTTTCAGTGTCTAAAATGTTATCGAAATTCAAAATGAAAAAAATGTACAAGATTTAAAACTTACATCTGACTCACTTAGTGTTTGATGGATTAAAACTTTTGATTTGCAATTTAATCCACTTAAATAAGACGTTTTCTTTTCTACACTCTCATTTTTTAAACTAATATTTTAGATGGTTAAGGATCTATTAAACCTTCAAGACTGCTAATGTCTGTCAATTACTCAACCTCCGTCATCAAGCTAACTAGCTATATCAGTATATAGGTAATATCAGTTTTTACAGGTAAGGTATGCTCAGTACTGTTAGAACAAGTATTGGCAAGTACATTTTAGTTACAGGTTAATTCAAAGTCCTTTTTCTAAATTAAAGTGGTGTGTATTTCTAACCATAATTTAGAGCAAATAACACAATTAATCAGATGTGTATGGACACAGTGTTTATGGCGCTATTGACGTTCTACTGTCTGGCGGTGTCTGTTGTTAGCACGAACAATTAAAATATGTATTTAAATGCGCTGAAACGCTTTGGAGGAAGTGCACGATTTTCCTTCCGACTGAAAAACGTGTCTCAGTTCTATAGTGTTAACACAAAATAGCGGTACGTTAAATGTCACCCAAACCGCAAAAGAACAGGTGTGCATCACTCTCTGTGGTCGGACTGTCATGAATATGTAAGTCTGTACTGACCACCGTAGTCCGATCAAATGTTATTAGCGCCGAAAAGACGAATATCGAAAACAAAACTAACTTTACCGTGGTTTATCCGCTCCAGGCCGGAGGAGGGCGATAGACACCAACTAAAGCGCCCCTTCATCCCGTATACCATACGAAGAACAGCCGAGTAAGGGGGAGTCCGTTTTGGACACCGTGTCTGTCCAAAATGAACAAACTGGAGTATCTGAATTCGTTTCTGACGGAGCGCTTAATGACAGTGGCTGGAGAAATCTTTGAAGCGTTTAAAGACTCAGTCAGTGAATACCAGGGAGAGATAGAGCGCATTAAAGAGGAGAACCGCTGTCTGAGAAAGACGCTCGCTGAAATTGACATTAACAGAGTTGAGCAACGACCAGGTACATTAGCTCTTACCTCAACTACAGTGACATGAGTGAGAGGCGAAAATGAGGTTAGCCGAGGTTATATTTTAGATTTTGTGCTCAAAATCGTGACCACGGTAATGTGTATCAACTCCAAATCCTATAATACACGATACTTCTGTCTTACAGAATGAAAAACTGTCGTATGTTTTTAGGAATACATTGTAAATAATAGTTGCTCTCTGTGTGCCGATTGATTGCTTATATTTCTTCATAATTTTCTGTTGCATTAGTTTGCTTAACAGATCAGCTCTAGAAGTAATTATTTTTGGGTCATTTCCTGTTCATTTTCCAGCTAAGGTGGATATCATTTACCTGTGAAGAGTCAGTTAAAGGGCCATTTCATGGAAAACGTCATTTTCCTTAATCTACTGGCATAAAAGAGGTTGATGTAATATGTAAACATGGCTGAAGTTTTTACATGCACTCCCAAATACATACATGTGGAAAGTCAGCTGCACAAACAGGCGTTTTTTTGTGATGTCACATATCTGCCTTTTCACCTTACAGCAGGTTGGCTCCACGCATTCATGCTGAAGTCATGTCGAAGGACTGTTTGGACTGTTTTTGACAAAAGACAAAGCACAGAACTCAACAATCAGACAAAATAACATAACCACATTACTGCATGGTCTAATATTGTTTACCCCTTGGAATCCCAAGCTTATTATTCAGTAACTACATGGATTACAGTGCAGAGAGATATGCTTAGGTTATAAAAGTGTGTAGTAAAACTTTGGCCCTTCCTGTAGGTCCTGGCCATTTAAGAGGTTCATCAAAGCAGCAGCAACAACAATAATAATATCAAAAAAATACAATAACAGTATTTTTATATTATACATTCCATAGTCAGATATAGGGGTTAAATATATAACTACTACTACTTATAATAGTAGTAATAATAATAGTTTATTACCATATACATTCCACCGGAGAGTGAGGCTACTATTTTCTGAGATAGTCCTGTATCAATAGCACAATCTCTGAATGTTTGAACTTCTTTTTGATACAAAATACAGGACAGCAAATTAAAACAGTAATCAGTGGTTGTGTGGTTTTGATTTTCCAGCATCTTTTTACCCCTTAGAATTAAACAGGCTGTTTTTATTACTGTGCCTTTAAGATTGGTATAAATGATCTCTGTTCTCATTGGCTGCCCTGTATTGTGTCTCCTTGACAAAAAGCACTCAGAGTTGAAACACTCTTCAGAACTTTAATGTGAATTGGGGGGCTAAACTGCTGTAGGCTAAATGGGTGAATATATGTAAATGAATTGGATCTTGTGACAACACAGAAACAATGAATTCAAAACCGTTTGTTTTTACAGCTTTTTTGGGCAGTGAATGGTATGTTTAAAATGATCATGTGACTTTGTTTTTGATGCATAGATCCACAAATTTATGAATGGATCTGGGTCCTTTTATTTCTAATTTGTCAATGTACAGAAATATACGCTTTTATAGTTCAATTCAGTTGTACTTATATTGCACATTTTACAACAGACATTGCCCCAATGCCACTATACCAAAGGTGCACTAGAAACAGTATTCTACTCTAGGCTAATCCTGTTCTTTTTCCCCACAGGCTCCCAGACCACCCATGCGGATGGAGTTAAGAAGCACAGTTCAAACCCTGAGCCTCTGGACTCTGAGCCTTCAGTAATACAAGTAAAGCTGGAGCTTGCAACTCTAAAGCAGGAATGTGAGCCACAGCCATCTTTGAATAATCCATATACATGCACTTCTAGCCCCGTAAGGACTGCTCATGGTCCAGAGCCAGCTCGGAATATTTCTGAGAAACCTGTAGTTTTTGAAGAAAAGGAGGACAGAGATTTAGATATTACGGTCAAAGCAGAACCAGCTGGATCCCAACCTTTTTCTTCCAGTAACAGATGCTTGGCCAAAGCGCTGGATGAAGCAGTGACCGCTCAGGCTGGAGATGAACAAGACCCTCTTTCGTGCTCTTATTGTGACCAGACGTTCGATGAGGTTTCTCATCTAGCCTCGCACTTGCAGAGTCACATGGTTTTATTTAGCTGTGAGGTGTGTGGTAAGTCCTTCAAGAAAAAGGGGACGCTGAGGACGCATATGATAGTGCACCAGAAAGAAAGACCCTTCCGCTGCAAGTTGTGCGGGAAGTCTTACAGCTGTGCCAAAGTTTTGAACGTGCACCTTATAAGCCATACGGGAGAGAGACCGTTTGGATGCGGCTACTGTGAAAAACGCTTCAAACTGAAGAGTCACCTGAAAGAGCACGAGAGGATCCACACGGGCGAGAAACCCTTCAGCTGTCCAGTGTGCAGGAAGTGTTTCAGCAGGTCGAATGCCGTCAAGATACACATTCGGAATCATCATCGCGAACAGTTACAGTTATCACTGAACCATTAGTCTGAAAGTTTTACGCCTCTCATCCTGAGATTTATTGCTTTTGCTCAAGTGTTAACACTTTATTGATTTTATTGTCATCTTACTTTCTCCTCTTGCTAGATGTTCTTTAAGATTTGTTTGGTTGTTTTATGCGGGCAGAGCCGGTACAAACCAGAACTGGATGTTTATTAAAGCAGAGGCTTACTCCCAATGACCTTTATTCATCAAAGTTACATAGAGTCAAATCTGATCGTAAAATAAGTAAATTCAAATAATAATACAGTGTTTAAATATGTAATTTTTAGGAGAATGATCACACCACACAATCACATCAGTCTACAGTTTATTTCACATTTTATTTTTCCACTTTTTTTTTCCAATTTTAACACTATAAATTTTGGTCAGTAAGTGGTCACTCACTGCTTGACCTTAAACTCTGCTTATTGGCTCACTAGCCACTGAATGCTGTTGTTTTATTGGTTCTTTACTGAAACGTCTGCTTGAATTAGGTGTAAATTACATAAACGATATGTAATTGAGGTGCCGGAAACCTGTTAATGTCATGAACTGAAGCTGCCCTCAAATCTTCACTTGTTTCCACATCAGACAAAAGTTTCATCAGTCAGATGCAGAGTAGTTCAAGGTGCTCTTCATTACGCAACTTTGATGAATAAGGGCCAATAATGCCGAATATATTTGAATAACTAATATCTAAATCATATCGATATCAGCAGAAAATTACATAAAAAAATTATAAATAAATAAATGTTATATTTCTTCATAATGCTAATTAAAATACAATTTTTATAAAGCTGATAAAAATATCGGAACTGATCATTATTTATTTACTTTACTTAGCAAATGTTAGAAACTTTTAGCATTTTTGTGCTAAAAGTTGTAGAAATAGGTTACAGAGAGTTGGATTGCTGGTAATTGTATTTGGTAAATATGTGGTTGACTTTCTGAACTCAGATTAAGCCTAAGTCTAAACTAAATAGGACTTTTAATGATAAAACACCATTGACATTGCAGTTTATTCCAGACTAGGTTTAATCCATGTCCAAGAATACAGCTCATGAAATATTAAGCATTTTAAATGGTCATATTCTGGAAAGCCAAATTTTCTTTTACAAGAATTTGACATACAAATCCTAAATTCCAAAAATGTTGGGACAATATGTGCAATGCAAATAAAACAGATTTAAAAGCAAAAGGTGATTTGTAAATCCACTTTGTACAAATACAGTACAAAGACAAGCTGTTTAATGTTTTACCTCATCAAGTGAATTATTTTTGTGAATATATGCTCATTCTGAAACTGGTGCCTGTAACATGTTCCAAAAAAGTCAAAACAGCAGCAATGTAAGACTTGGAATGTTATGAAGTGTTCAAAAACATATAAAACAGGTCATGCAATCATGCTTAAATACAAAAGGAGCATTCAGGAAATGCCTAGTTTAGGTCTAGGATAGGTTGAGGCTTCCCAAAAATGTGTTGGCGAATAATCCAACATTTTATAAACAATTTTAATCAACAAGCTCTACGGTGCATAACACCTACAAAAGGTTGTCAGTAAACACTGTATCCACAAACGCAGCTGTACTATGCACAGTGTCAATGGTGTCCAGAAACGCTGCCGACTTCTCTGGACCTGAGCTCACCTGAAATGGACTGATGCACAATAGGAACATATCAGTCTTCCAAAGCTGGGTTTCTGAAAGCATCTTAGATTACTTAAGATGATTTAAGACTATTTGAGATGATTCTTACATGGTAAAGCAAGCATTACACTGATCACTCTCTCTACCAGTTAACCCTGAGATGCCTATGGGAAACTGGGCCCAGATTGTTTATGTAAGTAACGGACATCATTTTCCAACATTTTTTGGAACGTGTTGCAGGCATAAAATTTATATATGTATATTTCCAAAAAATCAACAATTCATAAGTTTATAAGGGAAAACATGATGTTTTTCCTTATAAATCAAATATGGTGTTTTTGTATGGTTTTCAGTTTAATAAAGGTCAATCAGAATTTGATTTCTGTTTTTATATACTGTCCCAGTTTTTTTGGAATAGAGGTTAATGGTATGTAAACACAAGTTTCAAAAACACTGTTCACTTTTCAGTTGTACAATTCAAAGATGGACACTAAACTGCCCTGACAGATACTTCAAGGTTGTGGGCCCTTTAAAGCACATGTGTCAGCCTCCAGTCCTCGACTACAGCACACTGCCTTATTAAAAATACCTGATTCAGCTCAGGACTTAATGAACTGAAATCAGAGCGTTAGATGAAGAAGGTAAACGCTAATCTCCGCAGCCCTTCGGCCCGGAAGGGCCCCAGTTTGACATGCCTGCTTTAAAGCAAGGCAGTGCGCGTGGAGGAAAGTGCTTTGAGGTTTCGACAGATGGCGCTGTTGAAAAGACGCGGCGTCTTCTCGTGTTAAAAACAAGGAAGAAGAAGCTGGATGTTTAGTTTGCGATGGCTTGCGCTGTAAAAATGACTCAATTAGAGACGCTAAATTCGTTTTTCTGTGAACGTTTAATGGCTGTGGCTGCTGAGATATTTCAAGCAGTGAAGGACACTCTCTCAGAGTACCAGGACGAAGTGGACCGCTCCAAACGGGAGATTGTTTATCTGAGAAAAATGCTAGCAGAAGTTAGCATCAGCACTGGGGCAGGTGAATCATTCGCTCAGTTTCCACTGTAGTATAAGCTAACTTTCTGACCTCGACACAGCTGTTAATGTAAAACAAAAAGAGTTGTTTTATATTTGTAAGTTATCTTTATTGTTATACAGCATTACTTCACTTGAACAACGCTCTGAATTAGATGTGCCTGACAGTTTCGTTTCCATCGAGTTAACATTAATGTTAATTGTGGATTGTCTCAAAGCGTTAGTTTATTGTTAGTTACTAAATACTACTACTACTACTAATAATAATAATAATAATAATAATAATAATAATAATATTTACATCTATTTTAAGCTTTGCTTTTAGGTAAGTACATTATACCAGTACAAAACTGAAGAATCACGCGTACTCCTGAAAAGGTGGTTCCCCAGGGGTTCATTACTAAAAAGAGAGGTTCTATTCTATATAGATTATATAGAAACATTTCATGTTGAATTGGTTCTTTAGATTGATGGAGGATGTGTTGTATATGTTTCTGTATAGAACCTTTTTGAAAATGGTTCTATAGAGCACCAAAAAGGGTTCTTTTATTGCTATGATGTCAAGCTTTTAACAATAGAAGAACCCTTTTAGGTGCTAAATATAACAATTTTCAAAAAGGTTCTATATAGAACAATATGTAACACATCCTCCCTCAAAAAGTATAATGTCACTTGCAGAGAACCATTTACGCATGAAATGGTTCTATATAGAACAGACTTAGTTCTAGAATATCAAATCATTTCCTTTACTAATAAAGCCTTGAAGAAGTATTAAAAGTATAAATTAAACATGTCTTGACTGCTGAGCTGCTTTTGTGGTGGGAAAATATGTGTAAATTAGATTTTTTCACTGAACTCTTGCTTGAATCTAGTCCAGGCATCTATATTAAAGTTGTGATCCCGAACTAATCATTCACCATCAGCACTTGACCTCACTAATGCTCTTGTGGCTGAATGCAATCAGACCCTCACAGTATTGTTCAAACTCATACAAAGATGTATAGACTTTAGTTACACTCCCTGTTAACTGTGTTAATAGCCTTTTGGACATACTGTGAAGGAGAGATGTTGTAGCTACCTGGGGACTGAAATGAAGTGTCTTTTAGTCTCTTCTCTAAATAGAAACAATTCTGTGTCATGGTCATCCTGTCCTTGGTGTAAAATGTAATGTATATTTTCTACAGATGCACAGACAAGCCAGACAGATGAGTTTCCTGTTGAGCAGCTGAATTCCATCCAAGAGCCACTGGAGTCTTCAGTGATCCAGGTGAAGCTGGAGCTTAGTACCATGGAGCAGGATTCTGAAACACAACAGCCTTTAAGTGAAGCATCCACTTGCTGTGTCCCTGCAGATTCCGCCAAGGCTAGTGAACCACCCCACTACATAATGGGTGTCGCAGAGAAGAAGGAGGATGTTGGTGTATGCATGGACTCCCATGTCACAGTCAAATTGGAGCAGTGCTCGGATGAGTTAAACTCCTGTGCGGTCCAAACTGAAAGTTTATGGAGTCAGTTTAGGAATGTTGAAGATGAGCCAGGCCCCCACCCTTCCACTCAGTGTGACTTTTCTCATCAAACATTTGACTTGCGAAGCCCCTCTACAGAAAATGTACATCCTTACAAGGCATGTGGCAAGCCTTTCAGAGGAGGGCTTTTGAAGACCCACATGGTAGTGCATCATAAAGCGAGAACGTATCACTGCGATTTGTGTGGGAAGTGCTACAGCACTTCATACGCTCTCAAACTCCACCTGAGAACTCACACGGGAGAAAGGCCGTACACCTGCAAGTTCTGTGTGAAGACATTCAATCAGAAAGCTCACGTGAAGGAACATGAGAGGATCCACACAGGTGAAAAACCCTACAGCTGTTCAGTGTGCGGAAAACATTTCAATCGGACATATCAGGTGAAAGTGCACATTCGGAATTATCATCCTGATGACGTGGCTACTATCATCAGAAGTCGGCAACATAAGTGATAGTTTTGAAAGATCTCAATCTTAGTTTACCGCATATCAGGAGTTCTACGTTTTTTCTTTCTGTGAAGGCCCTGCAGGCTTTGTTGAAAATTACTCAGAATTAGTGATGTGTACACAAGTTAACACTGTATTCGTGCTAACAGAGTATGTGCTACCATGCAGACTCTTTTTGTTGTCATTTTATGTTATATTTCATCTAGCATTTTACTGTGGGCAAGAAATTCTCAAGAAAATGACATATTGATGCTCTGTCTCTTCTCTTATTCCTAATATTAGGGCTAAAACAAAATATTACAAAGACAGAAACTGTGATTATAATCGCATACAGCAAGTTTGTATCTCCCTCATCACCCAGATTGCTTTGGCAGTTGGCCAGTGTTTTCAGGACAGCACTCTACTTTTTTGCCAATCTCTGGTTTTTGATTTAGAAAAGCAAAAAAACATTCTTGTTCACAGCTATGTTTTAATGAAAAGAAATTGGCTGTTGACCCTGTTGTGATGAACATGCTAAATCAGTCATGTTAAGGCTTTTCTACTTGCCTGTATGATTGGCCCTAAACTTGTTTCCTGTTGTACATTGCGCTGTTTTGTTTTACTAGAAGTTTTGGGGTGTAACGTAAAGAATAAAAAAAATAAAAATTTTACCAGTGCCTGCTCACTGTGACATGTATCATTGTGATTGTGAACCACTTTAGTTTTCAGGGGATTTGTTCATCAAATTATTCAGACATACAAATATATAGAATATTTTTTTTTTGAAGCCCTTTTTTTTTTTTTTTTTTTAAGACTCCAATCACTTTGCTTACCCATTACCTCAGGCTTTTAAGTCCTTAGTAGCATGCCATTGTTTCCCACAGATATACCTCCAAAGTACACATGGGACACCTGAAAGCCTGAACGATTGTAAGAGACACGTAATAGTCTTAAAGATTGAAGGACAGTGTTTTCTACCAATTTCCAAGACAGAAAAAAGGCTATGTCTGTGATAAACCATTGGCTAAAGACAAACCATAATCTACAATGCCTACGGTTGCTCAAAGGCAATGGCAAGCAGTGACTATTGGAGTTAGACCTGTAGATCGGCCCATATATCTCAAAACTCGGTCAAAATACCTCTATGATTTTGCCAATTTCTGCTAGAGCTCCTATGGAATTCTAGCACTAAGCTAACAGCGATTCACATGAAAACCTTGTAAAAGGTATTCCACATGTATTTGAAGCTTGTTACAGACATATTAACATATATTTTACCTTGCGCTTTTACAGTGACTCTTTCAGCAAAGAGCCCTGCCATGGAGCATCTGCTGCTGTTTTCCATTTCTAACATCTGACTGAAATTCACTGGTCAGGCTACCACTGGTACTCACAGTCGGTGACATATAGGATTTCCAGAAGGCCTAGAGTGACCGTTTTTCTCACATAATGAATTGGTCCCACCCACTGGCAATCAAAACAGGACTGGTTGACTCCATGGTCAGTTCTTAACTTTGAACACCAGGGTTTCTGCATGGTCCTGCTCTGTACTCTTACTTTGAAAAGTCATGCAGAGACTGTCATAAAGTAGTTTTTACACACAGTTTATCCCTCTGACAGATTGGGTACATTTACAGGGTTGTGATAGACAGCATTGAACTAGAGTAGTGCTTGCTGACTCTTTGGAGTGTTCACAAAGTAAAAGGCAGGACTTCAGAAGGGATGTGAAAAAGTGAGCACAATGATTTTTATTCAACATTTCACACACTTACTGCACTTAATCCAAAAAAAATAAAATAAGGGGCCGTGGGGTACAGGGATACCTGAAGAACAGGTTACTGGGAAAGTTGTATGTTACATGATTAAACTGGTTTAAATAAAAGGATTAAGGATATCAAATGGATTCTGCCCTTACAAGCTAGAACAGGCTGAGCAGGTCAGCAGAATGCTAACCAGCCATTAGGCTAACGCTACAATAAAAGATGGACTTTAAGTTCAAGCATTTAAATAAAGTGAAAAACTGAAAAACTAAGACATACAAAGTAAAGGATGTTACTTACATGCCTTTTCTGAGGTAAAAAAGAGAAATTTAAACCAGAGCTGACATAAAAATCCCATATAGTGTCGAGCTAACCCTGCTAGCTTGACACTAACATAGCTACCATGATGAAAACATGAGCTGGTTTAAAAAACAGATTTCTACATTAGACATTGCTGTGTACTGCACTGCTTTATAGTTTTCTCCCTGTACCTGACTCTCAGAGTAAATACAACTAAAAAAAGTTAAATTAGCTAAATGACTTTATTATAGAATAATTTGTGTTGTCTACAAATAGGATTCTCTGACTAAAGCGTTTCCCTCACGCAGATTCGGGTTTTTGTTCACAGATCGATTAAGGTAACATTACAAATATTGGTACACAAGTATTCAAGCATAAATAAAAATATGGATAATTTTACTTATTCACACATTTTTATCATGTAACTATTAGGATATTCAGAGTGTTGTCTGTTTTGTTTTTTCCATAAGTCACATGGTCACAAAGTTAATGACATCTTGCGTTCCCTCGCAAATAAAATGCATTCCCTCGCAAATGTTTTGCATTACTATGCATTGGTTTGCATTCGCTTGCTAAAGCTGTGCTTTGCTTAAGCTCAGACCTGAAGCAGCTCACTGAATTTTACGTTGATCTAGGATTGAAATATAACGATATAGTGTTGCTTCTCAAAATCAAACATGATTACGCTGTTAGTGAGCGCAAACAAACTGAGATCGAGTGTCCTCGTACAGTAAAAGCTACATTTACAGAGATTACAGAGAACCATAGCTGAATAAACTCAGCACAGACTGGCGAAACTGGGAAACAGCTTTTAACGTTAGCTATGCTAAAAACAAAGCTCTAATGTAGGCGATGTCCTTCGGCACCTCTAGTCCTATGTTTGCTTGCTGTCTGACGAGCGTATATTTTGCGAGGGAATGCAAAACATTTGGGAGGGAACGCATTTTTTGCGAGGGAATGCAAAACATTTGCGAGGGAACACAATGTCATTAACTTTTTTTTTTAACCACGGCCCCCTTTTTAACCAGAGGCACCGTAGTTTCTCGTACTCTCTTTCATCTCTCTTTTTCCCCCTTTTTTGGTTTCTAATTGCACGAAAACATGGTAGGTGGCGCTATGTACCTGAAGTTTGCCAGCCGCCATAATCAAAAGAAGAAGAAGAACAACAATCCCTGTGTTGCAGCGGGATTTTTGGCCATGGCGTCCAGTACAGCTACTAACATCGGGAAATTTGAATCTTTAAACTCCTTTATCCACGAACGACTGACGACCACTGCAGGAGAGATATTTCAGGTAGTTAAAGACACCCTCGCTGAGTTTCAGGAGGAAATATATCGCTCCAAACAGGAGAATATTTACCTGAAAAGAAGACTAGCCGAAGTCAGCAGCGGCGAATCAGGTGAGCTAAGTTAACTAGCTAGTTAACTCACTCACTATCTGACGATAGTCAACATAAGCTAATTTTGTATTACGTTTGGATTAAAACTTATCGGAAGTAAAGACGCTGGTTTAACAACACTTATATTTCTATTTTTATTGGCTTTTACTGCTACAAATGAGATTTCTGATAGAACCTTGGACATTTACTCACACACTGTGTGTGTGTGTGAGTGAGAGAGAGAGAGATTTTTTAAAATGAACTTCTCTTACTGTTGTGATAAAATGGCACTAGCCCCCTTACAAAACAATCTGTAGGATTTCTTATAGTTTTATATTAATCTATGAATGTTTAAATATTTTTGTCTCTGTATATGTACTACTGTACTGCTTTCAAGTATTAGTAGTAACCTTTAGTAAACTATAATGAAATTTTGAGTTCACACTAAAGGAATCCTGTTAAAATTCTCATCGTGATAGGAGAAAATGAGGGAAATGCCCCCTGAATAACTCTAAAGCTAAAGCATATTTACGTATGAAGATACATAAACCTGTACACATAAAAAAAGGCACATCAGCCAATATTGGTTTTACAGCACAAAAAGAGAAAACCTCTGAAAGGGGCTTACCCCTGCATGAGGAAGAAGCCCCCTGGCAAATCTTGCATCTGTTTGTCATCTTGGTTTTACAGAATTTATATGTCAAATATTTGTAGTTTTTGCATTTTTCCATATATATTTATTATTTATTTTTGTATATTATTATTACCAGTGTACTATATATATATATATATATATATATAAGAGAGAGAGAGAGAATATACAAAAGTTATATTGAGTATATTAAGTGAAATTGAGGTCTGTATCAAGTTGTGTTAATGATTTCACTTCATTTTAATAAGCTATGACCATTACTGTCAGTTTTATTCATTAATTACAGTTATTGTGATTTTAATTTTTACATTAATTACATAATGTTATGTAAATCTCATTTTCTGTAATATAATAGTAATAAAATAATCTATTGGTTATTATTATTATTATTATGACAATAAATTAAAGCAGTATTATTAAAGCATTTATTTGTTGTGATTGTTTATTAATTAAATGTTTATTAAACATGACAGGATGGAACAGATTAGATTAGTTTTAGCTAACGGTTGCTATTGCTAGCATTGAACGAAAATGCTAGCTTGTCAGTGAACAATTTTGTGTCTTTATGGTTGTAATCTAACTAAATACTTTTGGTGCAGTAGGCTAAAGGGGGCCTTTCGTCCCATGTCTGGGGGGACTTCTTACCCCAAGAGACTAACTTTGTCTTCGCTTCAAAATATTTTAAATTTATACAAATGGGACATATATCCATTTCAGGTTTACACACATAATGCCTTTTGACTTTGTACTTGAATATGAACAAAAACATATGTATTCATCAGCATATACAAAGAATTTAAAAAAAATGAAATGCTATCATCCAAATTAAATTTCAGACTTTAGTTAGAGCATAGCCATTCAGTAAGTGTATCAAGATTAGATCTGGCCTCTTCATTAGATCAGGGCGTCAAGGACCACTGGGGGGCTTCTACATCCCCAAGTTATCCTACTATAGCTCCTTTTTCTTCTTTCAGGCCTTGTTAAACTCAAGTAAATTCTACTTCTTGTCCAGTTCAAGAGGCTAAAAAATTAACATTTTGTGTCCTTTACCTGTACAAATTCATTTGCTTTTCCTCCAGATGCTCAGACTAAGCAAGAAGAGCTTCCTCTTGAGAAGCAGAACTCCAACCCAGGCCCACTGGATTTGGAGAAGCCAGTAATACACATGAAGCTGGAGCTTAGTACCGTGCACCAGGATCCTGAGACACAGCAGCAATTATGTGCTCCATCTGCAAGCAGCTTTGTACATGCAGCCACAACTTACAGTTCACCTCGCAGTGTTTCAGATAAAGTAGGAGAAGACAAAGATGTTGATGTGTGTATGGACTCGTATGTGACAGTGAAAGTAGAGCAGAGTGACTCGCAAGTGACTTGCTCTGACCCTGGGAGTGCAGTCCAGAAAGGAATTGGTGGTACTCTGGGAGTTCACAAAGATGAACCTGGTATGCGTCCCTCCTCTCAGCCATCCGATGACCGTTGTCACCCACCATCTCGTGTGGAAAGCAGCCTGGCGGGAGTGCTATTTCCTTGTGAGGTTTGCAGCAAGTCTTTCAAAAACAATGTGCTTTTGAAGAAACACATGCTAACACATCAGAAAGAGACAGCACACCGCTGTGAATTTTGCGGGAAGTGTTACGGTCACAGTCATGCGCTGCAAAACCACATCAGAACTCATGCAGGTGAGAAACCGTATCACTGCAAATTCTGTAATAAGACTTTCGGTCGTAAAGGCCACATGCAGGACCATGAAAAGATTCACACTGGCGAAAAACCTTATAGCTGCGCGAGATGTGGAAAGCGTTTCATTTGGCTGAATCAGGTCAAGCTCCACATTCAGAATTATCACCCTGAGGAAACTGGTATAATTATCAAGAAATCAACAAAGCATGGTATCTTGAAGATAGCTCACCAGAGCGAAAATAAATATCCTTGTGAAGTGTGTGGGAAGAATTACAGCAGCCAGCATGTACTGAGAAACCACCTTCGAGTCCATACTGGTGAGAGACCGTTTAAGTGCAAATTCTGTGCTAAGACTTTCACACAGAGAAGCCATATGCTGGAACATGAGAGGATCCACACTGGAGAACAGAAATACAGCTGCTCAGAATGTGGCTTGAGTTTCATTTGGTTGCGTCAAGCCAAGGCTCATGTTCAAAATCATCATGATCAGTGTGCAAAGATTGTCAGAAAATAAGGATTTTTCAAAGTTGAACTTTGAAAATATTTGGCGAGTAGTGGAGAGCAGGGCACAAACAAACACAGGGTTAAATATTGGATATTTTATGAAATTAACACATTCAAGTAGAATGCAATTTTAATTATGTTCTCGTATTCCAAATAGCAAAGTCATTTGTGAATTTTGATCTCAGTTAAACAGATATTTCTCAGGATTCACCCTAAAGGCCATAAAAGTACTAGAAAAGTAACTTATATGTATTTATCCCCAATCAGTGAGATGTGTGAGTGTCAATTACAGAATAACACCTATATTTTTTTTTAAATCACCTTCTTGGTGGCTTTAATATAGCATAATTTTGAAGCATGTCAACACCTCCCAGTGAGAGCAAGCCAGACTGAAGTACAGTCTCCACACGGCGGGGTTAGTTTTAACACAGTGGTACAAATAAACCTCACAAGAAAAACGATAGAATGATACTTTTTTTTTTTACGTTGAACGCGAAGATTTAACAAAAAAAGTACTGTAGATGTCAATAAAATATTTTATCACTTTGACATATGCTCTTCTACTTTGTGAAAAAATGTGAATTTGTCATGTTCAACACAGCCTCTTTACTGTAATCATATTTACGGCTTTTTGACTGAATTGTTCAGAAATTGTAGGTGTTGGAAACGAAGATTATGATTTCATTTGTAGCAGAGATGTGTAGCTTGATTGTATATAAAAATATTAAGCAAAAACCAAAATGTTCGGTTGTGCCCTGCTCACCTGTTTATTTACCTTTTGGAAAAAAAAAAAATGCCAAAAAGTGTTTTTTGTTCAATGCCATAGGGAAAAAACTTTGAACGAGTGGTTCTTTAAAAAACCTTTTTGTGAATGACATGAGTCAACCTTTCCAAGAACTGCCACATAATGTAAAGGTTTTGGCAAGAACCTTTAAATGCCTTGACCAAACATACATGGTTCTTTAGTGAAACAAAAGTGGAACTTCTATGGCATCACTGCCTTTGTGGCACCTTTTTTAGTCAGTAGCGTAGAGTTCATTTGCTTTGCTGAATGTGTGCCTTGTTTTTAAACCCACTAGTGTTCAGAGACCTGACTGAGCTTTGACAAATAATATTTTTTGTCCTCTACCTCTTTTGCTTCATATGATTGTTTTGGATAATAAAAACTAGGTTTTTGTGCTGCTACGTGGGATTGCATGGAAACCAAACCAAAATGCAGAAGGCTTCTAATATAAATGTTGCTGAACTTTTTAATGGCAAAATCTACAATGAGCTGCAGTTTTATGACCAACTACTTCTACTTCAGCACAAAGAAGCCATTATATAATGCACAGAAATCACTGCCTTTCTGAATCACTGCCTCATTTCCCCAGCATGCCATATGTGGCTGTGATTCGCTTGAGGAAATGGCCATCAACACAGAAGTTTGATTCCTCAGCAGGTGGATCTACAGCACCTTGCAGAAGTATTCAGAGTCATCAGATTTGTTTGGATTACAAATAACCCTTTGATATTCTGTGCTGTCATACTGTATTTCAAAATGAATGAATTTAAAGTAATATTGGTTTTATGTAAGAAAATATTCGGTGACAAATATTGCTACCGAAAACATGTTGTTTGCATAAGTATTCAACCCCTGTACTGTGGAACCTGAGTTGAAGCCACAGGTGAAAGACATTGCCCTAATGAATGGGCTTACAATTGGCCTCTACTTCACCTTGGGTCAAACTGTGAATCTGTAGGAAAGCTGTGAAAATCAAGACCAAAGAACATTATAAGAATATTATAGACATGAAAAAGATATACTTGTATGCTGTTGCCAATGCAAAGCAGACTCTTGGAGAGTGCAGTTTTTCATATTTCTTACAGCCACGTCTGTCACATGATCAAGCTGAACTAATCTCATTTATGACCTCAGCACAGAACCAAATACTGGTTTTATAACCAGTTTTCTCATTTATAGCCAATTTCCAATATAGCAGTAGCTCTTTCACATACTGCACTGCATTAATCTACTATGCCAAACTATAATATATATCATTTGATATTTAACATTTAACCACATCTCATTCACATTCAAACACCACATCTGAAGAGGTCTTGTGGAAATATTAAGGCTTAAGTGGAAAATGTTCTTATTCTTGAGTCAAATTGAGCTTTATGTCATGATGCAGAAAATGGGTTTGATAACTGATTTGAAGTCTGCAGATGATAGAAGCCTCAGAAGGCCTCATTTTATTCACATGCATGCATTGCTTTAAGACACTGACCTCAAACTGTTGTGCTCATGTCTGCAAAACTAGACCCCTAACAGGCTAGTTTGTCTCGGAGGTACAACTGCTACTGCAGTGAAAAGTGTCCTTTTGTATCTTGTTTTTGAATCTATATATATATATATATATATATATATATATATATATATATAAACAAAGTCATTCAGAGTGGTGTGATGTGAAATATTCTGTTCTAGAGAAATGAGAAATTTCCAGAGTCAGATTTGCTCACAGTGGTGGTGTTAGGAACTAGACTATCCTTGGGTTCTATCAGCACCACTGTCAAGATATCTGAGTCACTGAGTTCCTCTACGATGACCCGTTTTACACCAAACCCCTTTGAATGACTGTCGACGTCAACCACTGAATTACGGAGAAATGTCTAAACAGTGGAATTCCCAGTTAGGCCTATTCGATGTTCTTCCGTTCCCGCCCGTGTGGCGGCGATAGAGGGACGTTATCACAGTCAAAATCGCTATTCATGGAAGAAGCAGAGTAGCAGCAGCACAGCTGTTTTGCAATGGCGTCTTCAGCCGAAATGTCTAAACTGGAGTCTTTAAATTCCTTTTTCTACGAGCGACTGATGGCTGTGGCAGGAGAGATATTTCAAGCAGTTAAAGACACTTTCTCCGAGTACCAAGAAGAAATACATCGCTCCAAACAGGAAAATCTTTACCTGAGGAAAATGCTAGCAGAAGTTAGCATAAACAACGGCTCAGGTAAATCCGCTAATTTAGCTAACAGCGCTGGAATTGATATGAGAGCAGATACAAACTGAGCGTGTTTCTGTGGGGTTATTTTTAAAGAACAGAATTTATGCCTGCCTCCAAATGAGCACTAACTTACCCTCTTAAAAAACATGGTTCTTCAAGGGTTCTGTGATTCTGTACGGAGCCACGAGTTCTAAGCTATATAGAACCATTCCATGCTTAAATGTTTTGTCTGAATGGAGAAATAGTTCTTCAGATTGATGGAGAATGTGTTGATTTGAAAATCGTTCTGTTGGTTATGTTAAATTCAGGCATGTAACAATAGAAGAACCCTTTTTGGTACTAACATAACGTATAGAACCATTTTCCAAAAAGTTCAGTATAGAACCATATACAGCACATTCTCCCTCAATATGAAGAACCATTGTCTATACAAAGAACCATTTAAGCATGAAATTTCACTTAGTGAAGTTGTTTCACTTCACCTAATGAACTGTTCTCGTCCTGTTATGGAACTCATGGTTCTAAATAGAGCCATTGCCTTTTCTAAAGAACCCTTGAAGACCTATCATTTTGAAGTGTGCTAGGTCTTTGGAAATTCAGGATTGTAGATTTAAAATGAGTCATGTTAAGGAAGTAATTTTTTTTTTTTTTTACTTTTTTTTCTAATACTGTTTCTAATCTGACAGGCTGTATCAGTGTAGTTTTTACATTAGTGCTCTTACAAACATCTGTAGGAATGCTAAAAGGAACTCTAAGATGTATATTTCTCTATTTTGATACTCTGGTGTAATATATAGTAATCTATACTATTTTACTATTAGAAGAAATCCTATAAATCCTATATTTTGGTAGTATTGCTATAGTTCTTTATGCAGGGTTTTTACTCTGGAAGCCAAAAAATGTGTGGAGAGGAAAAATCCAACCACTATGGCTGCTTGTCACTTTTGTCCACAGACCGGCCACAATTTTGGATTTTTCTTCTCCACACATTTCCCAACATAGCCCTACAAGATTGCAATGGATCACAATGAAATCATGCCTGAACTTCACTTAATAAACTGTGTGGCATCTTGCCTTGTCTTGCTGGAATAGACATTATTTGTTGTACTTTTCCTTGTTTAATCGAACAAACTGGATAACCACATTAAAACTGCTAACCATCAGTGTATGACATACACGTTCTTTTTAACTGCCAGTGTACTACTCTAAAGTTTGAGATTTTAACCAAACCTACATTCTTGACAGATTCACGGCTCAGCCAGGCAGAAGGAGTTTCTCCTCAGAACACCAACCATGGCCCTCTGGACTCAGTTGTACAGGTCAAGCTGGAACTTTGCACTGCGCAGCAGGACACAGAGCCACAACAGCCAGTAAAAGATCCGGCTTCGTGTCCTTCTCCTTATGCAGTGCCTGCCTATCTTCAGGAGCCACCTCACTCTTTTTCTGTTAAAACTTTAAACACTGAAGAGGAAAAGGGTGACTGCTCACTGACCGACTCCTCAAGCAGATTAGAAGCCTGGAACTCTCAGGTCATCTCCTCTGATGACTCAAACCCTACTTCGATGCGATCTGATGGTGGACATGAAAATCAGTCAGTGGTTGTAAAGGATGAACCAGAGTCCAAGCCCTACTCTCAGTGCAAGGAATCATACAGTGATTTAACTCATTTATCATCTCACTTGCTGAGCCAAACTGCAGACAGATTGCTTTATTGCGAAGTCTGTGGTAAGCCGTTCAAATACGATCGACTCCTGAAAGCGCACATGGTGGTGCATCAGAAAGAGAGGCCGTATCGCTGTGAGCTATGTGGAAAGTGCTACAGTTATGCACATGTACTCAAAATCCACCTCAGAACTCATACAGGCGAGAGACCGTATCACTGCAAGTACTGTGGTAAGACATTCAATCAGAAAGGCCATGTAAAGGGGCATGAAAGGATTCACACTGGAGAAAAAATCTACAGCTGTTCGGTCTGCGGGAAGCGATTCACTTGGCTGGGTCAAGGAAAGGAACACCTCCGGATTCATCATGATCAAGTGGCTACAATTATAAGGAAAAGAAAAAGTAACTGTTGAATATGAAGAAACATGTTGAATCAGACAGAATTAAACCCACCAGCTTTCCTCAGACATTCAGACATTAGATTTTTCAGAAAATACTCCAAACTGAATACATTCATGAACTTTTTCCAGTGCTCAGTTTTTAATGTTTATAGCGCATATATAGCCGGATGCACAACATAGCAACAAATTGAGGTAATGCAGACACTTTCATTACCCAGGACTGTAGTTATAGGTAGGTATATAGACTGCTATGAAACAGCTTATGTGCCTTTTAAATTGACCCTGTTATCATCATTGTCATCATCATGATCATGTCTTGGCTGTTCACTGGTGGAACACCTTACACACAAAATAGCGATAGATGAGTGAATGGAATGGAAAAGGACCCTGCAGTTCTCATTTCTTGCTCTTTTGTATCTGATATGCACATCGGAGTATAGTAGCGTCTGCTGCCTTGCTATTAAAACTCGAGAGCCACATTACGTTTCCCTGCTTTCTCATAATGAATGTATGTTTCATCAGGAGGTTTTCTGGATTTGTCAACAAGCATGTTAGTTTAACAGTCTCTCATACAATCATACAATCTTCTGATTGTACCCTAATTATTCCACTATATGTGCATATTGTACAAATCTTTTCTTTGTTGGCAACAATCTTGCAACCTGAATCTAATTTGTGTAAATTAACATTTTCATATACTCATGGAAAGGTGAGAGTAAATTGCCTAGTTTAATACAATTATAAATCTCTTTTCTGAAACAAGAGTTGGGACAATGTGAAATGCAAAAATGTGTAAATCCACGTTGATCTGTATTTAAACAAAAACAGTACAAAGACAAGATACAGGTAAGCTACACCTTTTCACCTGTGAATATACACTCGTATTGAAATTGATGCCTGCAGCACATTCCAAGAAATTTGCAACATGTAATTTAGGACTAGGAACATTGAAAAGTTTCAAAAAAAGACATCTTAAATGGGGGATGCACTCACGCTTGGTACACCCACATAAGGAGCATCCTGGAAAGGCCTAGTCCTTTATGAGCAAGGATGGGTCGAAGCTCGCCACTTTGCAAAAAAATGTGTCAGCAAATAATTCAGCAGTTTAAGAACAACGTTTCTGATTCCTGAGTGTTAGTGAGTGGTAATCTTGATATAAATGTATTACATATATATTATTTTGCCAGTTTTTGTTTTCATTTTTTTATTTGCTGAATTTGCTGATACATTTTTTGCTTCTGGAATCGCCCTTTTGTATCTGAATTGTGGCACTTTTTAATGGAGAGGGGCGTTGGAAGAGGGTGTTCATTCGCAGTCTCTATTGATCAACTGATTTGGAGTGACAGGTCCTCTGAACACAGCAACACCTGCTCAGTGATCTGTAATCTGCCTCGAACATTTTGACAAATGGTTCAAATAAAAACTCAACAAATGCTGTTCAACATCGCAGCCACAAATGTTTAATTAAGACTCTGCTATGTACAGTGAAAGTCATTTGTCAACAATGTCCAGAAACGCCCCATACTTCTCTGGGCTCAGTCTCATTTGAAATGCACTGATGCACAGTGGAAACATATATAGTGGTCTTATGAGTCAACCTTACAGATTGGAAAAAGGAAAAACATTTTAATTTTAATGTAAGTCAGTGGAAGCAGACATTTTTCCAAGTAATTTCGGGCCATTTATGTTGGTCCATTCATCATGAAATTTACATACAATGTAAAGGACAAAATGCATTGTCAAATTATGCCAAAAACTGAAAAATGACAAAAATGGAGATGTAAGGTTTTGTTCTGAAAGCAGCAAAATACTACTTTCTAGACATTTGCCATGCTGTATACAATGATAGATTTACAAATCCTACAAATTATATCACTTTGACTGCTTTATTGCAAAACGTGGCAAACCTACAGGAATTATGGACACGATTATGACCCAGATAGATTAAATTTAGAACAAATGCTTAATGTTCAGCTTGGAATCTTCAACTTCAAGGGAACCATTTCTCCTCATTATTCCAGGTAGGGGTGGGTTATATGGCCAAAGCTTGACCTAATGATACTATAGAGGATGCAGTTGGTCAGTGTTCTAGCAGTACTAACCAAGCTATGCTCAGAGAAGCATACTGTGAGGCAATTTGTCATTATAGCTGTAAATATCATCATATTGGCCCCTCATTGGTCCAGGCTTATGAAAGTGCTCCAGAGGTGCTTAGCATGCTCATGTTGTTATTTGTTATTTTGGTTGTGTCAAAATCATCATAGCGATGGCTTGGCTGCATTTTTCATAAGTGTTCCTGACACTGAGATGATCACTTATCACATCGATTTATCAGTCTACTCAGGCTTCAGCAGAGCTCAGTAACACTGAGATTAATAACTTATCACATTGATTTATCAGTCTACTCAGGCTTCAGCAGAGCTCAGTAACACTGAGATTAATAATTTATCACATTGATTTATCAGTCTACTCAGGCTTTAGTTGAGCTCAGTAACACTGAGATTAATAACTTATCACATTGATTTATCAGTCAGGCTTTATTAGGAAATTCAGTTTGTAGAGTAGCTTGTTACTGAGGTCCTCTTTAGAGTTTGTCCAATAAGCATGTGTGCTACGCACTGATTTTAAAATAGTTTACAATTTTTTTCTTAAATCTTTCTTGGTCTAATTGTTTTTGGTTTTTTTGTTTGTTTTTTTTAGTGGGTAAGTATTATAAAAGTATTCTCCTAAAAATATAATATAAGTTACTGTATTCTGGATACTGCCTCTTGGACTGAATACAAATATTTCATTTCTTGATACTTGTATCAGGAACTCTGAATATACTTAAGGGCACTACTATAAATTATAAGACAGCCCTGCTGAAAAAGGACCATTAGGATAAAACCTATAGTATGGTCTATAGCATAGTTTATGCGTACTCAGTATAGTCGATGTTGATGTGTACTCTGACAAACATATAGATAATTATAATAGTGCACTGTATCAATCTTGTAGTTTCTGATAGTATTACTGCAGTTTTTGGTAAAATCGTAATCCGTCTTGAGAGCCAACCGCTACACTGAGCGCTCCAGTTGCTGACCGCTGGATGGCGCTAATGTGTTAAATCTACCAGCACAGCATTAATCGAACAAGACGTGTTTTTGTTTGCTATGGAGGTAGCTGTTAACATGGCAGCTAACAAATTTGAGTTTTTGAATTCGTTTGTCTCTCAGCGTCTGTTAGCTGTGGCTGGAGAGATTTTTCAAGTAGTTAAGGACACTATTAACGAGTACCAGGAAGAAATAGAGCGCACGAAACAGGAAAACCATTACCTGAAGAAAATGCTAACGGAAAAATGCAGGAGTAACGGAGCAGGTATTTAAATCTCACTTCACCTTCCTTTAGATTTGGAGAAGACTGTATTAAGTTAGTCACACGGACTGAGTTGCACGACGAGTGTTGTTAGCTGCTGAGTTACTGACGAAACTGATGTTTTTATTCTCCAGCCTCGTAATCTAATGTTACGTTCCACCTTAAATATGTGCGACTGTGTCAGAATGGTAGTTATCGTTGCGCCCTTTAAGGTGGAACGGAAATTCGAATAACAAGTAAATTTCGGCATCGTGATTTACTGCTGAAAATTCTGGCTCAGAGTAGCTTTTGTTGGCACTTTGTTTCAGATGATGTAAGCTAGTCATTAACGTGGCTGACTAGCTGGACTACGTGAAACCACACCCTGTGACAGGTTGAGCTGGTCGACCAGCTCAGCACGACCATGACCGTCATGGCATAATACAATTCTGCAGAGATTCCTGTACTATAGATCTTTCTCATATTAAGGGTCTTGAATAATTTTACTAAAAAATACTCAAAGTCAGCTGACTTCAGAAGCTGTGTTGTCTTTTTTTTTTCTAAAAATCGTTGTGTCTGAAATTCCATGCTGTCCTTTATCCATCTCTGTGCTCCCCTTTGCCTTTCAAAGTAAAGGACATTAGGAAAGAAGAGTATTTGAGTATTTGCCACTTTGGATTTCTTCTATTTTTTTACCATCTGAGCAAACACAAAGTCAATTTTTTAGATGAGCTTTCATTTCTTTGAAAATGTTATCCAACAACTTTTCACACCCAGTGTGAAAAATAATTGCTTTTTAGTTAATCAACCAAGTAACCAAAATTAGTTAATCAATTAAATAAGTAGACCCAAGGTTGATAACAGCCAGCCCTGTTGAATTTAAACATTACTTAAATAGGACATTTCCAGGATTGTAAAGTAGGCTTAAGCATGTCAACAAGCAGCATGCTGTGCTGCAAGCAAAATAAATTCTGGAAAAGATATAATTAAATAACTTCATCAGTCTGAAAAGGATTACAAAGCCATTTCTAAGGCTCTGGGACTCTGGAACTTCAGAGAGATGTTATCTCCAAATGGAGAAAACTTGGTGTCTACATGGTAACTCATGTTCACACACCCATATAAAAGAAAAGAAACCCTAAATTCATTGTATCCTGTAAACAATGTCATGTCATCCCTGCCTTTGCCTCAGAAACACCAATACCCCAAGTCTTCAGCAGCTGGCTCAGACCTGTTTGTTTATTTGTAGTGTTTTCAGGAGTCGTGTTGACAGCAGACTCTAATATTTAAGTCAGATTTACTTTATCTGACCTTACTTTTACACATTCTGTTAGAAACTTGTTTTATTTAGATCATTTTATGTCTGTAAAGTCAAGTTATCTAGAGTCATGATCAGCCATATTTCCATTAAAACCTAACATTTTACTTTCATATTCCCCCCAGATAATGAAACCAGTCCAGCAGTTCCTCAGGAGCTACCAAACTTCAATCAAGAACCACTGGACTCGGTTATACAAGTTAAGGTGGAGCTTTCCACCATGCATCAGGATGCTGAGCCACAGGGGCCACTAAACAATCCATCCTCATCCTCGTCTCCCTCTGCAGTGACTGCATATCAAGAGCCATCTTACCATTTTTCAGAAAACACTACAAACGAGGAAGAAGTGGTCGATGGTCTACATAACTCAGGAGTTACAGTCAAGTTGGAGCCATGGGACTCGCAGGTCATCTATTCTGATGATGCACCATCTGTGATGCAAAATGAAATTATTGCTAAGAACAATTTCGAAGGCATGAGAGATGATCAAGGCACCTCCTCTTCTCAGTGTCAGGTTTCTTTGGAGAGCATGTCTCAAGCTGAAACTCGCTTTCAGAGTCAGACTGTGGAAAGGGTTGTCTATTGTGAGTATTGTGGAAAGCCTTTTGGGAATCGTGAGCAGCTCAAACAACACTTGGTTGTGCATCAGAAAGAGAAACCGAGGCCGTATCGCTGCGACTTGTGTGAGAAGAGCTACAGTTATGCCCAAGTTCTTGAGATCCACCGTAGGACTCATACAGGAGAGAGACCCTATCACTGTAGGTTTTGTGGAAGACGATTCAATCAGCAAAGTCACCTGAAGTACCATGAGAGAATTCACACAGGCGAAAGGCCTTTTGGCTGTTCACTTTGTGGAAAAAGGTTCATTCAGAGAAGTCAAGTGAAGAAGCACAACTGTAAACGTCAGGTTATTCTCCAGTAATTATATATGTGTAAATATTGCAAGGAGAAGTTGGATTGTAGTGTTTCACATGTTCATCGAGTGATGTATTGATTCTGTCACATGTCCATGTAGTAAACCATCTGATTTGTGTGGCAGTAGTGGTCCTGTTATAGAAGGAGATGCTGAGATTTAGATACAACTAAATTTGGGTAAAAACAAAGTATATAAACTGATCAGGCAGAATACTATGACCACCTCCTTGTTTCTACGCTCATTGTCCATTTTATCAGCTCCACTTACTAAATAGGTGCACTTTGTAGTTCTACAATTAAAGACTGTTGTCCGTCTGTTCCTCTGCATACTTTATTAGCCCCCTTTTACCCTGTTCTTCAGTGGTCAGGACCCCTATGGACCCTCACAGAGCAGGTACTATTTGGGTGGTGGATCATTCTCAGCACTGCAGTAACACTGACATGGTGGTGGTGGTATGTGAGGTCTGAGTGGATCAGACACAGCAGTGCTGCTGGAGTTTTTAAACACCTCAGTGTCACTGTTGGACTGAGAATAGTCCACCAACCAAAAATATCCAGCCAACAGCTTCCTGTGGGCAGCGTCCTGTGACCACCGATGAAGGACTAGAGGATGACCAACACAAACTGTGCAGTAGCAGATGAGCTATCGTCTCTGACTTTACATCTACAAGGTAGACTGACAAGGTAGGAGTGTCTAATAGAGTGGACAGTGAGCGGACACAGTGTTTACAAACCCCAGCAGCACTGCTGTGTCTGATCCACTCATACCAGCACAACGTCAGTGTTACTGCAGTGCTGAGAATGATCCACCACCCAAATAGTACCTCCTCTGTGAAGGTCCATGGGGGTCCTTACCACTGAAGAACAGAGTAAAAGGCGGCTAACAAAGTATGCAGAGAAACAGATGGAATTGTAGAACTACAAAGTGCATCTATATAGTAAGTGGAGCTGATAAAATGGACAATGAGCGTAGAAACAAGGAGGTGGTCATAATGTTATGCCTGATCGGTGTATAAATATACATTAAAAATGGTTTGAAAAAAGACGGAACGGTTTGTTGGAAAACAAATAACAAATGGCTAAATTTTTCATCTTGTTCATCCTTGTCTTTTCTTCATTCGTTATATATGAATAAATTAAAGAATTTCATGACTTTAGTGCTTTTCCATCTAAGATGAGCTTTGCAACTGCAACAGATGTGATATTTTGTTTTAGCATGCTGATTCTTGGAGACCAGAAGGTGATCATGTGTGACTATTTAATAAAAGAATTCATATGAATCAGGTGTTGGCTTGCACATTCTAAGAATATGCCCTCTAGCTAAACCAGCGCAGTGTTAAGACTAGCTGCTTAGACCTAAGTTTAAATCCAAATCACTGGGGATCAGCTGACCCAGGTTGGGGGGGGGGCATTTGCGGTATGGGTTGGGCCACATCACCCAACTCTCTCACATGCACCATCTGTAAAGCAGGGTCTGTTTTATCATTATATCATGGAACAGCATGTTATTCACACTTTGTTTACCAGTCTCAACCCATTTTCTGTGAAATTACTCAGACTGAAAATAAATACACATGGAGAGCTATGTAAAAGTGGAAGAGTATTACATTTAATTATAAGTCTCTAGTAGAAACCTGTTTAACCATCATCTCACCTGTGACATGAGCACATTCTATTAAAGGCATTACAATATCAAATACACACCAGTGACAGTATATACAGTCGGATACAAGGTGAGTATTTAATTTGAGATCAATTTAAAAGTATGAAAGTCCTATTAATGTTACTCATAAAATGCAAAACCTAAGACTTAAACTCACTACATATGGACTGGATTTCCTTCACGTGGATAAAAGAAATGAGAATCAGTGACCTTCAGAATATCTCTTCTTCACAAACTGAGGAAGTTCTTCATTCTGATTACACTCTTAAATATCAAGTTATATATATATATATATAGTACTGTGTAAAGGTCAGAGACCAACCTGCATTATTTCATTTCCATTCAATATGTCCATATGGTTATCCCTTCATTAGGATATACCTCTATGGTATTCCTAACCCCTTGCAAGACCTGGTAGACCACCGAAACAGTCACCATCAGATTAACAGAACTTAATTAACTTAAAAGCTTGAAAGCTTTCATCTTTGAGAGAGAGGAGAAAATTGTGAAAAAACCACAGGTGTTTCTGTCCATCCTTCCACTATAACTAATAACTGATTTTGCCAAATCAGACATCAAAACTTGTTTAAATTAGAATTAATGAACAAGGCAAATATTGAAACAGAGCTGGACAAAAATTGCACTTTTGCTGTCAAACCTATGTGCTGTGTTAAAAGAAAGAGAAAGAAAGAAAGGAAAAAGTAAATCTTTGAAGGCTGATTAAAATTTGATATCAGCATTCAGCATAACTGAGTCTAAGGGGAAAGACAGTGAGACTCCAACCTCGAGGATGCACTTCTTCAAGTTCCTCTTGCCTTCACTTCTGACAGTGCTGCTGGTCGAGGACTCTCAGAGCAGAAGAGTCAACTGAAATTAACATTGAAACAGAGCTGGATAAAAATTACACTTTTGCTGTCAAACCTATGTGCTTTGTTAAAAAAAGGAAAGAAAAAGTAAATCTTTGAAGGCTGATTAAAATTTGACTCTAAGGGGAAAAATCTCAGATGGAGTGTAATTCATTAATAAAACCTCCATACATGAATGTAAAACAAAACAAAAAACAAACACAAAACTGGATCTAAGCATTAGGGGGTTTCATGACACAAGGATTCATTGCCAGGAAGTCCAAACCCACCTCCCCACAGAAAAAGTTTGAAAATAGGGTATAAAAGACACTTTGAACACTCTTCTGCACTTCTCCTCCCTTCAAGGTTCAGCTGGATTTTACAAAAGGAATAACAGCCAATAAACGTATGGCTTCGATCATGCGCCTCTCCAGGTTCCTCTTGCCTTCTCTTCTAGCTTTACTGTACTGTCAAGGATTGTCAGTGCAGATAAGACGACTGCAAAGGCAGCTGCTGCTCTTTTGTGGAGAGCGTCCCGCCTCGCACATGGAGATAAGAGTCTACTACGTGAGTACAATGCGTATGATATAAAGCTGGTGTAGCTGGTGTCGGTTCCTCGTGATTTTCATTTCATTCATTGCATTGCATTTCTTTTATGAGGTTATACAAAGCTCATTTATAACGTTTTCAACCGTCTGGATTATCATTTTGTAGGAGACTACGTTTGTTGTCTTTTTGGCATATTCAGCGTCTAGCCGTCAAATGCACACAAGACTGGATATTGTCTTAATGGTGCATCTTCCCTTAAGCTTGCCATTCCCTCCTGTGCTGCACTGGACATAGTAAGTTCCTTTTATATTAATATCTATTTATTTGTTAATATATTTATTGGTGTAGGCTTGTTTATGGATTGTGTTGACTTTATTTGGTTTAAAGAGGAGAATTCAGAGAAAGAGAGTGTTTGATAACTAGCTAGTTAAATAACAACTGATTCTGTGGTCATGCCAGCAGTTTGTTGAAATTGAGTTTCCCATCTTGAAAATGTCTTACGTACGCAGTGTTTGGCCTGTGTAATGTTACATCTACACTAATGTCCTGTAGCATTCAGCACTATTAAAGACGACACAGTTTTTGCGTAAGTCATTGTGCTTTACTAGAGGCTGTTGTTGGCCACAGCCACGCCATACAAAAAGGGAGGTTTTCTAATTTGCTCTAAGCCTAGCTATGTCTTACTTCCTAGGCCGTCAGTGATAGACTGATACAGTACGTCCTAATCTAACAGGACACATTCAGGCTAGCCCCACCTTCAAAATAAGAGTCCTTGTCAGAACAACCCAAAGAATAAACGCTAGAGATTTACATAAGCCAACAAAAATTAGTTATTTCAGTAAAATAATATCCTTGCTGCCAGTTGTTAACCCTTTATTTTTTTTTAATTCAGGTAAGAAACCAGCAAGCTGTATTGGACACTGGATGGTCAGTCTTGAGTGACACATCTCATACAACCAACTTTCTTGACCAGGCTTGCTGCTGTGTTTTCCACATTCTACAGCTTCAAATGTCAGGAAAAAAAAGAACTCAGACAAAATCCTTCTAATAGTGAGTCACCGTCGTTGCAGTGTGATGTCATACGGTCACACTTGGTTCTTATCTATTGAACGAGAAACAGCGAGCTAAACATCTCTTCCTTTCAACGTTCTCACTCAGACAAGGAGGAAACTAAGTGCTAAGTCCAGTGCTACCACATGACATCGCTCTCCCAAAGAGTCTACCAGTAAAGGGGTTTAATCTACTTTTAATATTAAATATAAGTAGAAGAAGGAAGTTGGGTTATGATGTGATAGCTGGAATTTTTTTTGGTTTATTTATTTATTTATTTATTTTATCCAGACATAACATGGAATTTCCTTTGATGGTGAACTGATTATAAAATAAAAAGAAAACATCCAAGTTCATTTGTTTATGCTGACATGATAGGCAAATATTTTTTTTTATACAGGTAACTAAATTAACACCAGTAAAACACAATGTTGCTTGTTTACAGTACATTACAGTTAACAGTAATAATACTATAGTATAATACTACAGTAGCGGTATTATAATGTAAACATATGAATTTTTTACAACAGTAGAACATCATTAATGTAACAGTAAGCTCCTGACAACCCTGCAGCCAGATCTTTACCAATTTATTTACAGTATTTTTTTTTTTTTGCAGTGTACTTTCCTCCAAATACATACTGATTACATGACTTAGGACCACTGATGCAAATGTCAGGAAGGCTTCTTTGGGGTACAATTTCCTATAACAGTCATGTGTTTTCCCACACAGGGTCATGAGAAAAAGGCTGTACAGGTGTTGGCTTGCACATTCTAAAAATATGCCCTTTAGCTAAACCAGCGCAGTGTTGAGACTAGCTGTTTAGACCTGGGTTTAAATCCCAGCTGATCCCCAGGTTTTCACTTGGCTCTTGGTTCTTTTCATCACTCTCAATCCAAGTAATCAAGGCATCTACTAGATCACGAAGGCCAAGTTGGGCAGTTAGTGTTCTTAGACTTAGAAAAGGATATGGTTACAGCTAACCACTGCAATTAAAAAATGTCTGGGGAAAACAAAGTACTAGACTTCCACAAAGCATGCCCATGTCAGAAACTGTGTAGATCTCTTGGCATCATTGATATGCACGTGTCCTCCTTTACATTCAGTGGCTTACAGTAATCTAGACCAAAGCCTTGAACCCTAAATGAGGTTTCTCACCTCAGCATATCTCTGAGGCTGGGGGGAAGAAGCATTTGCATCATGGGTTGGGCCACATCACCCAACTCTCTCGCATGCACCATCTGTAAAACAGGGTCTGTTTTATCATTATATCATGGAACAGCATGTTATTCACACTTTGTTTACCAGTCTCAACCCATTTTCTGTGAAATTACCCAGACTGAAAATAATAAATACACATGGAGAGCTATGTAAAAGTGGAAGAGTATTACATTTAATTATAAGTCTCTAGTAGAAACCTGTTTAACCATCATCTCACCTGTGACATGAGCACATTCTATTAAAGGCATTACAATATCAAATACACACCAGTGACAGTATATACAGTCAGATACAAGGTGAGTATTATATACACACAGTACTCTATATATAAGTCAGAGACCAACCTGCATTTATTTAATTTCCATTCAAAGTGTCCATTAAGTTATTCATTCATTAAGATAAACCTCTATGGTATTCCTAACTCCCATGCAACACCTGGTAGACCACCAAAACAGTCACCATCAGATTAACAGAACTTAAAGCTTTCATCTTTGAGAGAGAAGTGAAAATCAAGCTCAACTACTGCTTCAGATCTGAAAAACCTACAGGTGTTTCTGTCCATATATATGAAAACATCCCCTATAAGAAAACAGCTCTATGCTATGGTTCTGAAGAGATGTGTAGCTGTCAGTAAGCTGTTTCTGAAAAAAGGAAACAGATAAAAAAAAAAGTCCAGACCTCAACATCACTGGACGTATTTGGGATTATTTGGATCATGGGAAGCAGAAAACGCAACCAACTCCTAAGACTGAACTTCGGAGGTGTGGAAAAATTTCCTTGCAGATTTCTTTGAAAAACTGAAAGCAAGTCTCCTGAAAAGAACGAAAGCTGCAATAAAGGGAAAGAGTGGACACATCGAATACTGAAAAAGTTGATATTTAGTTATCAAGACTTTTACGTAATTCTCTATTTTCTTCCTTTTTCCTGACTGAAAATTAAATAAACAAAGAGGGATCTCTGACCTTTGTACAGTACTGTACAATGCCATCCTCTTGTTGCATTGGTAGCATTGTGAAATAAATTTCCTCAACTACATTCTACACAACATTTGCTAAATATTAGACCTCACTACTTCTTTAAAATTAGAATTAATGAACAAGGTGTGAACAAGGCAAGAAATTAATATTGAAACAGACCTGGATAAAACCGCACTTTTGCTGTGGTTCTGTGTTAAAAAAAAAAGAAAGAGAAAGTTAAAAAGAAAAAGGAAAAAGGAAATCTTTGAAGGTAGATTAAGATTTTATATCAGCATTCTGCATAACTGACTCTAAGGGGAAAAATCTCAGGTGGAGTGTAATTCATTAATAAAACATTTCCATTTATGTAACAAAAAAAAAGAACTGTCAATCTAAGAGTGAGGGAGTGACATGATGACACAAGGATTCATTGCCAGTAAGTCCAAACCCACCTCCCCACAGGAAATTTTTGAAAATGGGGTATAAAAAAGACACCTCGAAGACTCTTCTGCACTTCTCCTCCCTTGGGGGTTCAGCTGAATCTTACATAAGGGTTAACAGACAGTGAGACTCCAACCTCGAGGATGCACTTCTTCAAGTTCCTCTTGCCTTCACTTCTGACGGTGCTGCTGGTCGAGGACTCTCAGAGCAGAAGAGTCAACTGCAGAGACAGCTGCTGCACTTTTGTGGAGAGCTTCCCACTCAGACTGAACAGGCTGCGCTCCTCGTACGACAAGATAAGAGACTACTATGTGAGTACTACCACCTGTTTTGATCTTAATACAAACTGGGTTTGACTTAGTAGCTCTGGTGCAGGAGTCAGGGAGCCTTCATGAGAGTGCAGGAATGCTGCTTTTAGTACAAACATGGAGCACAGAAGCCTCCACAAACTCAATTCTGTCTAGAGGGTTTGACTGAGGGGCTCAACTGTGAAGTTTCAGGGCTTTTTTTTTTCATAGAAAGGGGGTTAACAGAGACTTGAGGCTGAGCTTTTTATTTCTATCCATTCAGGAGGAGAAAGATGACAGTGCACTATTTAACAAAACAGTCCTTCAGAAATCCTTCAATGTGAGTATGACATCCAAAGATTACTACTATTACTACTATTACTACTACTACTGCTACCAGTGTTTATGATTCAACTGATGCTGCTGGTGCTATAGGACTCTCAATCCTACAACTGCAGCTTTCTTCCCCGGGTACAAATCTGCTTCGTAATAACAATTTACTCATCATATCGAAACTGAAGGGTGATACTAAACCCATAGCTGTTTTGACACAAGTCAAAATGTGAAAAAAGTCGCCTACGAGTGTTGAGGACTGCTTGATTGCGGCCACGACTGATATTTTAAGTCTCGTTTTCCCTTCCAGAGCCCTTACGGCTGCCATGCGATGAACGACGTTTTGCATTTCTACCTGGACATCGTGCTGCCCACGGCGATTACTGAGGACACGAAGAGCTTCAAAACGCCAATAGACGAAATTGGAAACATCTTCCACGAGCTCAAGAGGGACCTGATCAAATGCGTAAAGGTTCACGCTTGTTTACTTCACTAAGAGAGCTTCTGTATAGTGCCAGATTTATCCAAATACCAATACGTCCTTATGCTAAATACACAAGGTTTATCATAGCTGTAAGGAACTCGAGGGCAGTCAGTCGGTCAGTCAGTCAGTGGGCTAAACGTGTCCCAGTAAACATTTGGCCGTTGAAACAACGTTGAAATCACGTATCTGACTGCCGTTTAAACTACGCTTTATTAAGGTTCAAAACGAAAGTTGAAAAGACGTCTAAACTTAGCCGTTGAAAAAACGGCCAAAATAGTCACATTAAAGACGTCATTTAAAGGCTGTTGATTTAACGGTGAAATCACGTACATAACTGCTGTTTAATTTAAGTTTTCTTATGGTTGAAAATGAAAGTTGAAAAGACGTTCAAGCTTAACTGTTGAAAAGACGACCAAAAAGTCACAGTAAAAACGTCATTTTAAGGTGTTCTAAGGCCTTGGAAAAAATTATAAATTATAAATTAAAAGGCATTGAAAAGTCATCCAAAATTAATTTCCACTAGTACACTCTCAAAAAAAGACTTTACTAAGACTTTACTTTTCCTATATAGAACCATTTCATGCTTAATACACTGTACAATAGAGCAACCTTTTTAGTGCTATATAGAATGAATTTTTCTATATAGAACCATATACAACGCATTATCTGTCAATGTGAAGAACCTTTTCCCCATGCAAAAAAACTTCCTGTAGTTAACTAACAATTTTGATTCCAATGTAAACATAAAACAAACTTTGTTAAATGGAAACTTTATTGAAAACGTGTAGTTATTATTAATTTCATTTGTGGAACATAAAACTGGACCATGAACTTCGTTAGGACTAAGACAAAGATCCTATGCATCAATTCAGAAAGAATTTCCAAACCTTTGAACCATAAGCTGCGTCAGTATTGTACATGATTTTCAATGTTTTAATGTAAAGGAAATCAAGGTGATTATTTAACAAGACAAAATCTTGCATTTTAGTTTCTGAGAAGTCAAACAAGAAAAGAGTTAAAAGCTCTGCAGGGGGCATGCTTGAGGTGATCGGCCACAGCAGAATCCATCTCATGAGCTGTGGCTTTGTTGTTCCACTTCAGACCTGCAGCTAACATAAAACACAAACAAGAATGTTACAATTAATGCACACACAAAGCATTAAAATCTCTTGACAAAAACAGACAGATCAGTGGAAGGTGAAAGCCATTCTAACATCATACTTATTACTTATTTAGTCTTACTTATCAATTAATAGTCACAATGCCACAAGGCCTTTGACAGCTTTTAATTCACATATATTTAAACCTTTCAAATCTGAAATATGTTTCCATATAATATACATAATATTTTCCTGTCTGCAATGTAGCCAATAAGGAGGCAACTGATAATTACAAATCTATTTTTTAGTTATTTTTAAATGTTTATTTCAGTGGGCTTCTAAACAACTGCGAAGTAGTGATGTTGTGATATGTTCTTTTAAATGCAAAGGGCTTGAGCTTGTCTCTAATTTTATATACTGTCTCTAATTTTATATATTCTCCTAAGACTCATGAGATTTCTAAACTCTGTACTAGACTGCTGGGAACTGAAAAGCCTCTCTCTTATTTTGGTCAGTGTTTATTTGTTAAAAGAATAAAGCACAGTCCAAAGAACAAACTGGGTAGTTAATAGTACAGAATGCAGCTATAAAGCTCAGTATTATTATTTGACTTTTTTATATGCCTTACAAATTCCAATATCAAATTTGACTGAAATGACTACAATTAATGATTCTTTAGTTTAGTATTGGTGTTATGTGTAACATTGCTCAAACACTAGAAGACAATATTAACCCAGATGTTTTTCCATAAACACATCCCTAAAACTTCTCTCAACCCTCTCAAACCTCATCTAGGTCTCCTTTAGAGTCAGCAGACCTGTCAGTGTAGTGTAGGACACAGAATGACTTACTTTGAACTAAAGAAATGAACAAAACCTCACCACTACGGCCATTTTAGGCAACACAAAGGCTGCACAGGACTGATGTTGGATGAGTAATTATGACTGCCATTTCCATAAAAAACTATTCTAGCTCAGCAATCCTACTCCTGAGACAGAGAGGTCACCCACGGCACTTACTCTGTGATGACGTTTTGTTCACTTTTATAGCCCACAGTATGTCATATTGTGTTGTACACCACACTGAGAAGTCTGCGCCACCTTAATGAAGACATGAAATGATTTAGGTGAATATTGACTTCTAGTGTTTGTCAGAAATGTTAGCTTCACAGCTCCATTGCTAAACTAAAGACACAAACTTTGGACACCAATTATGTCTTGGCCAAAAGACTACATTGGGGGTAAGCAGAAAATTGTTTAAATTTTATATTTTGCTGAACCATTCCTTTAAATAGGTTCTTAGTCATAAAATGAGTGTGGCAACTGATAACCAGGAAACTGGTACATAAATTGTTAACACATAACGTTCTATTCTGTTTGCGATAATACTTACTTTTTTAACTTGTGCGCATTATTTGACCACTGCCAGTATGTTGTTGTGGCACACAGACAAATCCAGTCAGCTTCTGAAACAAATATTTGTTTGCACAAGACGACAGTCAGCTACAGTTAATTCAGTAACTTATTGCTGATAGGACATTTCATTATCTAATAAAACCTCACTAATGATTTCAACTTGTGTAGCCAAAGCTAATGAATGAAACATCAGAATGACTGCCACATTTCCCCTCCCTACCAACATCTAGAAACACAGCTGTAGCTTCTGCAGCTGTATAAAAAAATAAGCTAGCTAGCTAGCGTTAGCTACTCAAATTACCTAGCTGCATAAGCTAACTACTTTCAAATACTGTAAAATAATCATTAATTGTGGTAGTTCGTTTCAAAGTAAAAATATGCTCCTGGCAGTTTTAAAATGAGCCTCGAACTATTCATGCATGTGACTACAAGCTTAGATAAATATAGCTAATGTAGCTCAATATAGCTAACGGCTAACTTTTACAAATGAGGCCGCGCAAAAATCCAAGATGAACACCGACGTAGACGCTATATGGAGCGCTACATTCACAATATACAGCTACTATTCACGTTAGCGTTTTACTAGAATTATTATGCGGTGTTTCTAAGAAGTTATTAGCAAATACTTATACAGGGCAACAAAAGAAACAGCTAATGTCAGAAAACGCGTGTTCTCGTGATGAATCAATAGCGTTAGCTAGTTAGCGAGCTTAGCTTTTATCAGGACCTTCGCCATCAACACGCTGAACTGAGGGGAATAAAATGACCGCTACCTTCGGTTTTAATTCGCTATATTCAGCCAATACAGACAAATCTTTAAATCTGCGTTAATGACGTGCCCAACCGACCGCTATGTTTCCCGTAGTTAGCACGACTGTTAAGCACTAGCTGACCTTAGCAGGACAGCTTCAGCAGCTGTATCAAATGCTAACTAGCTAGCTAGCTGGCTAACAAGCTAGCTAGCTGGCTAACAAGCTAGCTAGCTGGCTAACATGTACCCTCTATTCATAAACAAACGATAATACTAGCTAATATTTAAAAAAAATCTTTGTAAGCTTAGTGACTCGTATATGGCAAAAGGTCCACCTAAAACGGCCAGCTAACGTTTACTTACCTGGACCAATGTGGACAGTAGCGCTGTGTGCTGTCGGCGGCTCGCTGAGGACTTTCTCAAACGGGGTCCAAAGCGGCAGTGATCGGTGTCCGTTCAGATGGATATCGCGTCTTCTTTAACCCGCTTGATACATCCAACAAACCCACAGCGTTTAAATGACAGGACTGACTTGCTGACAGTGGAAATGCAGTTGCAAACAGGATTGCAAATATTCATTTTGGCAGAGCTGAAGGGCCATGATGACGAAATACAATAAAATGGGCGTTTTTTTTATGTCAGAGTCAGACCATATTAAGATAATGAAAATGAATGGTCAAGAACGCTGCTTTTCTATATTAAAAGTTCCCAGCTATTATACAATACAATAAATTAAAACGCAAATAGGTTTGCATTCAAATTCGAATTGTGTCTTAAATAATGCACACTGCTATGAGATATGCAATTACAAACACCATTTAGCACTTGCATTTAAATTTGAAAAAAGTCCAGGAAATATAGAAAAGCTGATGGCACCATGTTAAATAATGACAACCACACTCCATGTGACGTCATATGGCATGTTCTTTACACCATAAAGACAAGTGAAATATTATCAAGCTTCAGCAATCAACATCTAACATAACAGTAAGCCAATCTATATTTAACATTTGGTATCTTTGAGAAAAGAAACATAACGTAATATCTCTGGACTGGAATACAGCTTTCTTTTTGTTGTTTCTTCTTCTTATTATTATTATTATTATTATTATTATTATTATTATTATTATTATTAGTAGTAGTAGTAGTAGTAATAGTAGTATTAGTTGTTGTTGTAGTGGTAGCAGTAGGCTAAAAGCAGTGGTACTGGTATTGTTATTATCATGATCGTTATCATTATTTTTGGGTTATAGTGAAACGTCCATTGACGTTATTAACAGGTCACCAATGGACTGACTTTTTGAAACTGATTTTGGACGTCTATGGACGTTATTAACAGGTCACCAATGGACTGACTTTTTGAAACTGATTTTGGACGTCTATTGACGTTATTAACAGGTCACCAATGGACTGACATCTTTAAAACTGATTTTGGACGTCTATGGACGTTATTAACAGGTCACCAATGGACTGACTTTTTGAAACTGATTTTGGACGTCTATGGACGTTATTAACAGGTCACCAATGGACTGACTTTTTGAAACGGATTTTGGACGTCTATTGACGTTCATAACATGTCCCCGACTGACCGACTATTTTTAAACACATTTTGGACGTCCACAGACGTTCTTTGTTTACTGGCGTAGCTGAAAGTACCGAGTCAGCTTGTTGAGCTTTCCAACGCTGTGACCGGACGATTCTAGATTGAAACATTTTAGGTTGTGTTTTGAATGCTGGTATGAGCTA